GTACATGGTGAACTCTCGTACATAACGAGCTCTCGAGTCTGGCATTCCTCTACCAGGCGCTCTTTCAAATGAGCCGGGTGGCTCATTATAAAGGGTATGTGCTCCCCAGATTCCTAGATCAGGGAACACGTGCAGATGGTACTGTCCAATCACAGATCACACAAAACTGGCGGCGGGGACGAGCATGCACAGCCCACGTGAACATCCATTATTGAGGCGTGATCACTGCACTCCAAGGTGGCGCCAGCGAGGCTCTTGCTCGTCGTGTGTGCCACTGGTCAAGGGGTCCCAAACTCATGACAGCATACATCGAAGGGTCCACCGAACTGCTCGCTTAATTAGCAGGGCGATTTGCGGCGGCGGTTGCCGCTGCGGTCTTTTTCAAGGAAGATGCTGTATTTGTTGTCCTCTCTCGAACCGCTTACGGCGTCGTGGCGACACGACGTCTCACCCTCTGGCTAGGAGGAACAATAGCTGGCGGGCAAAGGCAGCCGGCCGTTCGGCTACTTGTTTGAGGATTAAGAGAGCGCCGCTCCCTCGTCAGCTCTGGCGCCGGCCACAACAGTTGCCAGATCGGAGGTCGAGAGACGAAAAGAAGGTGGCCCCATGGAGGCAATCGAGGGCATCGTCAGTGTGTGGTAGCGGGTACACGTTTTTTTTGTAATTTTGTTGAGGTGGTGAGAATCAATGCAGAAATGCCATGAGCCGTCTTTTCTTCTTTACTAATACCACGGAAGATGTCCTAGGGTCGATGATGGTTCGATTACATTTTTCAAAAGTATTTTGGCCACTTATTTTGAACCACTTCTCGCTCGGACGCTGACACGCAGTATGGCCGACGGTGAATGGGCACAGCGTCACCATTCTTGATTCGGTGAGTGACAATTTTAGTCTGGCCCAAGGGACAATCTGGGTGTCGAAAATGTCACTGTATGAAGTCAAATCCTGGCAGAGAGTGTTGGCCTGGTGAGGCGAAAGCTCCGATCCAATCGTGTTTCGAAAAATAGCATCGTATGAGCTGGGTGACCGTGAGACTGCGCTTCGATCAGGAGCAGATACAGGGACAACACTGACATTTTCGTCGTTTATGGCAGTTAGCTGGGCGAGAGACACCTGGCAGGGCAACACTTGAGGGGTGAAACCAAAGTTAAGGAGTGGAAGAAACACACAGTTATCCGCTGTAGTCGCGATGGTATAGAGCACAGTAACACTGCACGTCAGCCGAAGATCAGTAATTGGCGTTACGATATAATCATCATCAGGAATGGGAGGGGCCGATGACAAAGACACGTACGTGACGGCTCGAGGTGGCAGGCGAACGAAAGTGGTTGGGCTCAAGCGGCTGGTGGGCTTTGCAGAGTAGTCGGTAAATATTGGAATATCGAGGCTGACGGTACCAGTCAAACAGTCAATTAAGGCCGAGTGTGCCGAAAGGAAATCAAGGCCAAGTATGAGGTCATGAGGGCAACAGGCTAGCACGGCAAAAAGGACCACGGCGTGACGACCGGCAACCACGGCAATGACAACCGACATTTTGATTACTGGTACAGTACCGCCATCAGCAACATGTATTGCCTGCGCTGTAGACGGCGTCATAATCTTTTGCTAGCGGCGGTGTAGAGAAGCCCTCATAATAGACAGGTGCGCACCTGTGTCAATGAGGGCGGTCACAGGAACATGGTCGACTTGCACTTCAAGCAGGCTATGGTGCGTGGGAAGCGTCAGTAGAGGATTTTCAGTCGTCATTGGTATTGCAGCTTCACCTCTATAAGCTGCAATATCTAGTCTTCCTGCTGCGATCGTCCAGAGAAGCTTGGCGAGGAAAAGCGCCGAGGTGGTTAGAGAGCGGGATCGGCAGCGTAGCGGCGACGGAGAGTGGGTGTTGCGGCAACCGGATGAAGGGGCGTCAGTGAAGGCTTGTACGATGACGATGAATAGAAATTGAATGGGTGGCTGAACGTCGAGGGGTCGTAGTGTGCATGTGCGCAGAGGTAGAGAAGGTCTGACGTGGTTGGTTTGACCAACGGCGGCGGCAATAGCAAGAAACGTGCCCAGGCTGGTGGCAGGAAAAAAAAAAATAGGCCGGTTGTCGGGTGTTCGCCATTCCGAAGGGTTACGGAAGGGCATTGTTGGAGGTAAACGGCGAGCGTGTCCTGGGGAGTAAGACGGGACTTGAGGGCGAGTCAAGGGACATGTTGATGGAAGGCCGAGGTTCGCAAAGTCCTGCCTCACCACAGCTTGTATGAACGCCACTGACGGCTGTTGTTGGTCAGAGGCGAGCGTTGCGAAAACGGGTGGCTGAAGAGGAGCCGGACAGGCGGCTTTGATTTCCCGACGAACAATGAGCTGTTTTCATATGTAGGGGACGGGCAGGCGGCTTCACACAATGAGGTTGCGGCCGTGCTGGGCAGCTGGGTAAATCGCTGAGTAATACGGCGACTCTTGGCTTCTTCAAACCGCCAGCACTGTTGTATGATGGCGTCGACGGTGGCAACGTTGTTGTATACTAGAAGATGAAAGGCATTATCTGCAATGCCATTCAGCATATGGGCCACTTTCTCAGACTCACTTATGTGCTCGTCAATCTGGCGGCATAGGGCGATGACGTTGTGAATAAGAGTCTGGTCCCACCTATAGCTTGCGCTGACCCATTCATACGGGTTGGCCCATTTGTAGAGGTCAACGCCATCCTGACTGGAAAATACACCGGTATCACGAGCAGGAGGTAGAAGGACGTATGTAGAAGTCACAGAAGGGGCAGGGGGTGAAGACGATGGTTGTTCAACCTGTGACATGGTTGGACCTATGATGATGCGGCTGTTGTGGAGCTTCGTGATGAAGACAGGGAAGTACCCAGCACTTCCACCACAAAGATATTACGTAAAAATTACACGAGGCGTGTGTATTTAGAATTTATATTGACACTGATGCATATAGCATTGACTAAGATGGAGTGCAGCACGCCCAACCGGCAGACCATTTCCTCGTTGTCGTCTTCTGACCGCTGACATGTCAGCTACGTAGCAATATTTTTAACGATGAACTGATATGAATCGTAATCGTGACAGAACAGTGTTAAACACCTGCAAGCACAAACTCCTTATCCTAGTCGGCGACTTCAACGTTCACAATGTGAACTTTATGAAATATGAGCTTTGTCATCGACTCTCACTATGTCGTGTCAAGGTATATCGGAGAAACAGTTGCTGTAGTCGAAAAGTGGGTATGTGAATAAAAAAAGGTTTACAATAGATGAACAGCAATCATAATTGTGACAAAACAATATAAAGCCTACAAGCACAAATTCTTCACACTAGTCTGCAGCTTCAACGTAGACATTATGAACACTAGGGCCCAGCCTTGTTGTCAACTCTTTATGATCACTTGTGTCGTGTCATTTTATTTCACTCAGTTTACATTATATGTGGCAATGCTTGGGTAATGTATTGGTAGTCACCTATACGATACCCAGAGCTTCACCCACTTGTCATGATTTACTTCGTGGATACGTGCAAATGTTTTCTTTTTTTAAACTTTTTTTTCAAGGCTATTATGGGCACATTGTGCCTGTCTCAACACATAGAGCTGTTTTGTTGCAGTAAACTTTGACAAGAAAACATAAATAGCATTGGAACTTTTTATTTCTCATATTAATTGAAGATGTACTTTGAAGATAAAGTACTGACATACCATTAACCCCTTGACTGCTTTGGACGAGCACAGCTCATCCTGTCCAAACTGTCACCAAACTGCTCTGGATGAGTTGAACTTGTCCTAGGGGAATTGGTACTTCCCTTAAGCGTTCAGGCAGAGAAGCGCGCATTTACGGCTTACATTGCGTGTCGTCTGCTTGACGGCAGCATTTGCTCAAAGATAGTTTTCTCATGTGGCAGTAGCGCGGTTTTTGTATGAAAAGACTGCGTGCAGTGGAAGCGGCCCTTGCACAGCTGGTCTGTGAACAAGAAAAAAATGCTATTCGTTTTCATCACCTTCTTTGAGTGATGATCGTTAAATTTAGTACAGATATTTATCTTGTGCCCAGAAGTGAAGGCAGCGATTATGGTGAATTGAGTAGCTTCTCCGGTGATGATGACGACAGCTCAAACGCGGGCATTACGAGTGCCCGCTAGTGCAGCCACTTTGCGTCATTCCGTGTTCGGAAATTTTTGATGCAGTCCTGAAGCTTCCCAGTGAAATACTACAAGGGTGCTTAACCTACACAAGTGAGGCAAAATGTGGCCGTCTGTAACTGTTTGTTTTATGAGGTTTTTAAATTTTATTAGCAGCAGGTTGCTGGTTTTCTATGTATGGTTCAGAAACAAACTTTCATTCCGTTGATTTGATTGAGTATGTGTTGAAAATATTTTTTCAACATCGACTAGCTACTTTTAGTACAATCCGATTCGAAATCAGCAATAAAAAAATTGCCACGTTTTGACTGAAAAATTTGACAAAAATGAGCAGATAAGAGGTTAAGTGTCATAGTATTGATTGGTTATGCTGAACCTTTTCTGCAAACCAGCCTTAATTTCATTTTCCTGTGGCTGTTCTATGTGTCACGCAGCAATGACGCAGACACTGGTCTGGCGGTAGCAGTGACATCTTCGCACTCACTCAGTCTCACTTATTTCTTTGCTCTGAAGCTGACTTTTGCACATACAGGTTCAAAGAGTATCCTGTTCAACCATCAAGTTTGTTTGATGTCGTATTATATTAGATGTACAGTTCAACCTCTTTTTAAGAGACTTGTACCAGGGAGAAGTTTTGTCCCTTTATAAGGTGTCTCCAAGAAGTAGTGTACCGTGGTCTCGTTTTCCGATCGATCCCTGTTTCAATGTAAGCACACTGGCATCTCTTTTACCCAATAATCTCCTACATCAGTGTTTCTTTTTTTAAAGGCGTTCAGCTGTATGTGAGTTGCTACATTAGTGAACTTTCTTGAAGTTCGTTGTTGCAGCTGTGCAGTGCTTAACAACTCTTCGGATGATCACAATATTCAGGAGGAAATACCAATGCACAGGTGAAGTTCCGCTCGTTTTTTCAACGGGAATTTCTTCCATCTACAGATAAAGGTGAGTGCTTGATTATCTGTTCACTTGCTTACTACTTTTTTGTACTCTTTTGCATTTGGGTGCATATATCGTGCCCAGTTATTTTGACAGGACACTTTTATGAAACAATGTCATATGTACTTTGTTTGCATGGCATATGATGAAGATGCAAACATCAGTAGCAATAATATAGCATGCACTGTTTAATTATTGCCACAGACATGTACAGTGCTGCCAAACCGAAGTGCTACATTTCAATAGTGGTGACGACTGGACAGCACATGCTGTGCCATTTCTAATGCTTGCCACTGTTCACGTTTCATTTGACGCCAATAGTACAGCTGGTGACAAAAATGATTTGCCTTTCCTGGCAGTGCCAGATTTACCACACGCGATTCATGGCGCAAAGACTCGAATACTAGGTGTTTAAAAGCTGGTATTTTCAGTGAATGATAATGCGGTTTCCCTAATTTTCTGTTAGGTAACAGGTTTGAAAGAACTTATTCTTGAGTTGGTATGGATGACTAGCTCACCCACTGACTCAGTTTTTCTCCGACTCATTGATCCGCACAAAAACAGCGCGTGTATGTAGAAGTACTGCAAAAGTTGCCATCTGTAAAGAAAAACGGCCTCTCCTTTCTGTGTGGTGGAATTTGTCTAGTGGGCTTGGTACAAAATGATAGAGCGTTTGACCGTGTATTATCGCAAGCATAAAGAAATATTGCTGTAGCATGCTGTCTGGCTTCTAGCCAATTATTGCTAGCACACTCATTTTTTTCTTCTTTATGTTAATTTGCATTGTACCCATACTTAGAAGAAGTGCTCGAGTAGGTAGTAAAAGCAGTGTGGTGGTACTCCATAGTCACACCTATATTGTGTTCTGTGGAGTTAACACCTCTGATCAATGTGATGTTCTTTTGATTATGTATTTGTCTACAGATTACCTTTGACCTTGTGGTCAGTGCATTCACACTCATGGAGCTGCCAAACGCGATGCAAAGGTTGGAAACTGTGGCCAGCCTGTGGGGCAAGACCAGTGGCCTGTTGGTATGATTCAGCTATGTGTCACTTTTTTTGAGTAATATACGCACCCTTACCATCAGTCACTATATGCGATATTGACGCGTTCACATCAGGCCTTATGCCAGACTTGATTAATTGAAGTGGTGGGTTCAAGTTAAGATTCATTTTCTGAAAATTTTAATGGCAAACATATTTGACGGAGATCTGTGTGGCTGGGTAAAAAATTATACGAATAAACAGACTCTCCAGCCATGCTTAGTCTATAGTTTTTAATATTGTAATTAAAAACTGACCCCTACATTTCGAGACACATTTGGTCTTCTTCAGGAGGGAACTGTCTGGTCACCTCTGAAGTAAGCAACTTTTCTCATTGGTTGACCCCATTTCCACGATTGTTCTTTCAGCCGTTCTTGCGGAAGCGCAAACCGACGAAAGAGGAGAGGACACCTACAAAGAAAAGTCGCTAGCTTCGGCGCCGGCCTGACAGTCCCCCCCCTGAAGAAGAGAACAAATGAGTCTCAGAACGTAGGGCCAGTTTTTAATTTTAATGAATAAGAACCATAAACTAAACGTGGTTGCAGAGTCTGTTTGTTCGTATGATTTCGAAACACGGGGGTTTTCGTACACCCAAAAACATGGTACAACTGCATTGTCACTATCTTGTTCTAAATGCGGAGCATTTTCTAGTCGCACAATGTTGAGCTTGGGCGTCGGTGGCGGTGCCATCCACACTCCCATGCGCATGCTCGTGTTTCATGCTGGTGAAGAAACACGCAAAACTTCCGCTCTTCTCCCCCTCTCTCGCCTCGCAAGGCCGACGCAGGCAGCGTCTGCTAGTTAAAAAAACAACTGCTCGCACTTCACAACCGTTCATTGGCCACCCCGCATATGTAGGCACTGGATCACGCAATCGGAATCAAATCAAGGGCGTCCTTACTTAGCTTTTGCTTGACATTGAAGACAGTGCTTTTCTTTCATTCAATGAATAAGAATAATAAAGAAAAAATAACAATTAAGCATTCCCAAACCATACCCAATTACACAACATTAATGCTATACCCCTGCTTTCTGCAACGCATTTGCTCGAGTTCCCCCCGTGGGAAGATGCGGGTGGCATTTTTTTTAATGACTCTTTTTTTCTTGTAATGAAAGTGGCACATCATTGTCATCGACCTGTGCAGAAATGCATTACTATGTGATCATCGTGAAAGAAAGTGTAAATTTAGGAGCTCATTTTTTTTGTTAGACATAATATTAATAAGAACTAACTGACAATAATTGTCTATTAGTTCTCTATTCATCATTTTATGATAGCTGTGGTGATAATGCCGTTTATGATGGCAGACTGTAGCAAATGCTGTCAATGTGGTTTTGGATTCGTATTCAATTGTAATGGGCTGGCTACTTTCAGACCTATTCTTCTGTGGCCTGTATTGTTGTGTTTACATACTATAATAAGTAAGCTTGTGCGAATAGTGAATTTTAGGTTCAAATTGAATGCGAAGCGATTAGTGATCATGGCAGAATAATTTCGAATCATGTTCAAGTAGTACCATATATGACAAATAAAGAAAAATGGGCATATTTATCATGACCTACCATATTTTTGCGCGTATAATCTGCCCCTGCATATATAATCCGCACCCCCACTTTCACCTCACCGAGAAAGAAAAAAAAAATCCTCGCGTATTGCCCGCACGTTTGATATACAGGAAAGGCTGTACAAAAACTACTGCTCAAGCAACATAGCACATATGTAGACAGAAAAAGCTTTATTTAGCAAGCAGAATACGCTGTCTGCAAGGCCAGTCACAATTCACTCACTGTCGCTGCTCTCGCTAGAGCTGTCACTTGAGCCGCAGTCCTCACTATTATGCACAAGGTCATCTTCGGTTCCATCCATGTTGTTTGTGATGCAGCATTTCTTGAAACTTTTTCGCATTATCTCACCTGGAATGGCCTTCCATGCCTCGACAATCCACTTGCAGAATAGGGCAATTTCAGGCCTTCGAACTCGTCCTGTCGGCGTCAAGTCGTAGCAGCTTTCGGCCATCCACTCGGCGTAATAGCGCTTGACATGCGCTTTGAAGGGCTTGTTAAGCTACTCATCTAGAGGCTGCAACATTGACGTCATTCCACCGGGTATAACAACTAAGTCGGTGCCGTTGCGTGAAAGGCGGTCCTTCACTTCCTCAGTTGTGTAGCCGCGGAACGAGTCAAGAACGAGCATGGACCTCTTTGCGAGCATCGCACCGGGCCTCTTCTCCCATACCGTCTTGATCCAGTCTACGAACAAGTCACTGTTCATCCACGCGTTCTCGTGTGCGCGCACCATCACACCGGCAGGCAAATGAACCTTTGGTAGAGATTTCCTTTTCAAGATGACGTACGGTCGTAGTAGCGTGCCGTCGGCGAGGGCACAAAGCAAGACTGTGATGCGCAGTTTCGTGTTCCCGCCGGTCAGCACGCTCACCGAACTGCTGCCCGTGTTCTCAATCGTTGTGTCCAACGGCATGTCAAAATAAACAGGAGTTTCATCCGCATTGCCGATTTGCGAGAAAATGTAATTGTGCTGCTTTTGCAGGCCAATTACATATCTCTGGTACTTGAGCAGCTTCTCCTCATAAGAAGCCGGCGTTGACATATTGTAGTCCGTCGTCTGATTGAGAGCCCTTGCCGCTTCATAAAGCAGTGCAGCCATCCGCGGCTTGCACGGAACTCGTGAGGTAGGCCTAGCTCCCTCGAAAGTCGCCGCGCTTCCACTTGGGCCATCTCGGTCGATACGGCGTGACCCCTGCTTCTCACATCTTCAATGAACTTTACTAGCTCTGCCTCTAGCTCAGGGTAGGCACCGGTCTTGGGGCCAAAAAATGACCTACGGTCGCGGTGCGCGGCTTGTAGGCTCTCTTTTCTTCTTTTTCCACAGTCGCACGCAGGACTCGTCCACATCGTGCCGTCTTACCGCTTCGCGATTTCCAAATTCCTTGGCGACGGCGATGATCTTGAGCTTTTGCTGTGCCGTGAAGGCCTGCCACCGTATGCTACTCATGGTGACAGAACAGATCGACTTAGGCTTGGCGAACGGGTCGAGATGTGGAGAACTAGCGGTATCAGCGAGGTAAAGAGCGCTCACACTCGGCGACAACTTGACAGCACTACCCCTTCTAGTACACTGTAACAGCATTCTGGAAACAACAGAATCGAAATGCATGCCTGCTACCGGGTTTAAAATTAGTACATTAATTTACTGATAATATCGCTATAAGCACTACAACATCTCATTTTCCTTGCTGAAATAAATACTGCTTTATTTATTATGGAACTTACTTTATTTATTATGGAACTTTCTTAGACAGCACGACCTTTTCGGCAAGCCCTTTTCAAAAGTAAACATGGCGTCCGTGACGTAGGGACATGTGGAGGGTCACTGAGGGGCCGCGAACGTCCAAAAAGTATACTTGTGGTATGACAGTGAGATTTTACACTGAACTATCGAATTGTCTCTCCCCAAATGTTTTTCTAAACGCTTCAATGATGCAAGCAAGCGAAACCAAAGTCGGCCTCAAGCTGCCGTGCTACTTGCAGAGCAACACGAATTTGCGGAAACCGCCTCCGTAGTTTTCTCTACACTGTTAAGGGGCTTCACAGCACAACACGCATTGCTGTGAAGCAGCACTACAGAAAAAGAAAAACCCTGCGTATTATCCGCACCTTCACTTTGCCACTGAAATTTTTGGGTTTTTGGTGTGGGTTATATGCGCCAAAATACGGTAACTAACCTGAACACTATTTTTCAAAAATTGGAAGTACCCTATATACTCGCATAATGATCGCACTTTTTTTTCAAAAAAATTGACTCCAACTTCGGGATGCGATCATTACGCGGGGTAAATTTCCCGTAAAAAAATATTCTGAGCACCGGAAACGCAAAAAAGTAGCTAATCAGAATTCTTACGGTAGCAATCATGAACATAACCAAAAATAAAAGTAAATTAAGGCTTACCTTTGTAATAAAATGCACGCATTACACAGAAGCTCCATGCATGGCCCACTGCCCTTTTATTTTTTACCTCTCTGACCCCCTAACGTTCATTCGGACTCCGAAGCATCACTGGCGTCAGTGTCGTCGCAGCACGATTCCCTGTCAAAACCGGCAGTGTCTTCACTGCCCCACAGAGGGTCATCTTCCGTTCCGTCGAGCGCGTTGGAAATGCCAGCGACAGACCGTTCCGCCGCATGAAGCGTGTCGTCCAGCCAAAACTGGCGCGGAAGTCGGTTGTGGCTATTCCCAGCCTCCGGGAAACTGTGCACGCCTGCGTCTGTATCATGTTTAATTACACTGCATAACTGTCCTTGCGCATGTCCTTCACGTATTCGAGGACTGCCTTTTCAATGTCAGGAAACTTGCCAGATTTGGGTCCGCAGAAAGCCAATCGCGTGCTGTTAGTAGCCATGAGCATGTCGCGCTGTTTTTTTCCAATATCGAATCCGGATTTCGTCGACGCTGAAATGTCTGCCGGCAGTGCAGTTGCCCTGCTCTAGCGCGTAGTCAAGCCCCTTCAGCTTGAACGCGACAGTAAAGCTCGCATACCACCCCATGGTGAAACGGCGCTTCAACAGACGATCACAAAGCACACCAAAAAAAAAACATGGTCTCAGGAAAAAAAAAAACATTGCTCCGGGATGAACACAGGTCGACCAACAGGCGGCCGCCGCTGTAACAGTGCGGGATGTCAAAACAAACATGGCGACTGATGGAGCGAAGCCACTGCATTTTTCTATCTTCTTTGCGTTAGTTATGGAGGTTGTGAGTACGTTACGCGCGTCAAAACAGTTTCTTCCATCTATATAAGGAATGATTTCATTTAAATCAGTAAATTTACGACATTAGCATAGTGATGCCCGCTTTCAGATCACAGAAACAATGATAGGCCGTTAAGCTAGACTTGGCACATGGCATGTCGATGCGGCAAATTCAAGGGTGCGATCATTACGCGGGGGAAAAAAAGTCGAACTTAGACGACAAAATTTAGAGGTGCAGTCATTATGTGAGTGCGATCATTACGCGAGTAATTACGGTAGGGGCTCTATGCAAATGCCCTTTTTTTATTGTTCAAAGGAAGTCGAAATACCTTGGAGTACTATAGTAGCAAGATTTGACTTTCCGCAGTATGTGAGTCCTAATCCTTAAAATATGTAACATTTTAAAATTTATTATACATAGAGCATATAAGCTGTCATAAGAAGCTTGTAAGCCTTAATAAAGTAAATTCATTTGAGGGTATTAGTTTTACTCGAAGAGGCCATGCGACAATTTTTCAAGTAGCCATGGAATGGATTCACTAAAGAAGCTTATTGCCTCATGAATTTGCTGCCACAAAAATTTTTCGAATCCGCCCAGTACGCGCGGAGTTGCAAAGATTTGTTGCACACTGCAATTGAATTCTCTCTTTCTCTCGCCCCAATGAAAGCGCTGGAAGGTAAGCAAGGAGGGATGGCAAAGGGGAAAGAAAATACGTCATGCGTGCTTTCTGAGCTTGTGGAGTCATTTGCTGAGAAAAAAAGAGCAATTTTTAGCTGACTTTGAGAATTTATTGTGAATCGCATTCCACCTGGTGCGCTATAATATTTAGCTCGTGTGTTCTCGGTAGCCTCGACCACCGGACGACAGCGTTTCCTGACAGTGCTCAAAAAGTAATGCAGGGCGACCTTATAAATTCGAAGGGGAGCTTTGCGGCAGAGCGGATTTCTTCCATATAAATGCTTTCACGGTTCAGCATCTCTGCGCTGCAGCGAAACCATCTTTACAGGCGGTACATTCGGATTAATGTGCATATATTCGTTCCTTGCGAATACTTCAAAATCGGAATTTTCGATAACTTATATTCGAATACCCTACCATTTGTTCAAATATTCAAAGTAATTGAACATTTGCACAAGCATAGTAACAATTCATTGGCTGCACGAGTATGATCCCGGTTGTCAGTGTTATTTGATGTCTTAGGGCTAGATGCTCATGAGTATAACGCGGTATGGGGAATTGTCTTTGAAAGTCGGAGCAGTGTAGTTTCTACCACCAAATGCCTATTCAGTACTCTGTGAAATGCTCCCATGTATGGCAGGCTGGTATGATTATGTGAAGTAACAGTTGTGGTTTTCATGCTTGCAAATATTATCGACCTTTACTAGAAGCGCGATTGCTCTGCATGTGTAAATCTTCACATTGATGTTTACGCCTTTGCCCCCTTTCCATCAGGTTCTCATTGAAAACGGCACACAGGCCGGACATAAGGCCATTGCCGAAGCTCGTGACTTCATACTAATGGTGCTGTCTTCTTGTCTTCTCTATATTGCTAGAGTCTGTTGTGTGTGCAATACAGTGTGCTTCTTCGCACCTGCAAGGAAAGTGCACAGGCATTTCATTGCGGCGAAGGCATCGTATGGCTCATCTGTTGAAAAATTAGGTGACCAGCAGCAGCATTAACAGAAGTGGTACGAAAAGCCACATGTCACCATAATGCCATGTTAATTAAGATGTGTTCTTGTGATGTCATCACAAGACATTGCTGTTAGGTGAAAGGCAGGGAGATTCCAGAAGTACAGCAACACCAGGACAGGTGTAGAAAACTTGGGGGGGTGCTGAAGAATAAAATTAACTGAAAGTATTAAAAAATTTAATGAATGGCCTGCAAGAGTGCAGGCTTTCAGCTGTGCTTTCCTTCACAGTTAGTGAAAAGTACTGTGATAATTTTTTAGCATTATACATTATCATTTGCTGCGATCTAGCCACACACAATAGAGGCGGAGTATTGGTAATTAATACACATTCCACACAAGAATAAAAACATCTCAGAATGCTGGCCACTAGAAAAAGCAAGTGCCACGAGATTAATTCAGTGCGGTACCTCTTGAACTCAAGGCAGGTGTGGAATTTATTGATACGTAGGTTCACATTGTGGCATCGTCGGTGGGTGGTTTGGGGGTTCAAATCGCCTCCCGCTGGTGATTCCCACCGAAATCACCACCCACCCCCTGAATTTTTCTGTGTGTACATATGGTCCTAAACATAAAAACCCACAAACGCATGCAGGAACATATAGTACTAAAGATTTCCAGCCCACCGCCTATTTATACAATTTTGTTGCTATGTCCCTTGTTCACTCATGGTGACGTGCTTTCCGGAAAAAATTATTCTGCATTTTCACAACTGAATGCAGTAGAAGAAAACCAGCATTTATAAATTTTTTCAACTCGTGTGCATTGACTTTTATCTTTCTCGCAAATTTTGATTAGTTTGGGGTGTGGCATTCTCTTTTTGGTTCCTACCGCCATCGAAAATATTCTCCCCTCCCCACTTTTTTTCCTTTTTTTTTAGCATGCTAGTGTGCTCAAATATTCTTGCCCAAGTGCGAGAAATTGGTTGCTTTGCTTTAAGCATCATGGCCATTTCAACAGTTTATTTGTCAAGTTTCAAATAGTTTTCCAGTCTTTTTTTAAATAAGCTTTCCCCAGTGTCAGTGCCGACAATCACGACCTTATTTTCTTCAGATCAGCAAAGATGGTGGTCAAGAACCTGCCCATGTTTTGGCTCCTGTGAGTAATAGCCAATTTTTTTGTCTGCATCTCTTAACTGCACAGTGAAAAAAAAAAACTTAATTATATTGGCTCAAAGTAGGCTGCCAAGAGAGTTATCTTTTATAACAGGCTGCTTCATTCTGGGGTGGTACTGTACGTTGTTGAACATTCAACATCTAGGGCTTAAGCCCTAGATGTCTCATTAAACATGAAAATTGACAGTCAGCGCCCCTCGACGTCAGCGTCAACACGAGGGATGCGGAAAGTCATCATCCTGTGATGTCACCGTATCATGTCACATAATACGAATGAAGGAAAGCAGTGTAAATTTAAGGGCTCATTCTTTTTATTAGACACAATATGAGATCTAACTGACAATGATGCCAAGAAAGTATAGGGGATGTTATTAGGAGTAATTGCAATGTAAATGTGAATAAAGAAAAGTGATCGAAGAGATAACTTGCCTCCTAGCAGCGGAACAAACATGCGAGCTTTAAATAATGCATCCGAACTTCTACCACTGAGTTACAATGGTGGTTATGAATTCGTCTACTTTATAGGGTGCATATGTGCATTCAAATGCGAGACCATCAGTCAGCGCCACCAGTAGCCATGGCGGTGAGCGTGGAACACTCTTTATTGCCTGCTAGTGCCACGTAGCACGGGATCTTACTACAATCTGGCAGCTGACCTTTTCTTTCTTCACATTTAAATTGCAATTACTTCTGATAACATCCCCTATACTTCCCTTGGTATCATTGTCTGCCAGCACTCATTGTGTCACATAATACTGTCACATGGCAACATCATCACATTTCATCATTGCTTGGTCAAAGATGGGTAGATCATAGAAGCGGTGCAGTACCAGGAGAGGTGCAGGAATCTTTTATAATGGGGGGTCAGTGCATCGACCTAGAAAAAAAAGACAGTTTTTGCCTTCATCTTAGGACAGATGTATAAGGGGCCCTGTTAATTTTTTGAATGAGTGTTATCTGCAACATCTTTGCAACTTCTTAATTTAAACACTGTAAAAGTGTTTGCATAAAGAAGTGGTGTAAGGTGGGACTGGCAAACAAAAAACTAACCTGAAAGCTGTTTTTTTTTTTTCCTTTAAGGTGTGTGAGGGCCTTTAGTCGAAGTCATTTTTATCAAAATTATCTCGGGTGAGTCTGTTTTTGAGTAGTTTCATAGTGAAGCTGTAACGACTCGCAAATGTCTCAAGCATGGTTTCAAGATTTTGTGATGAACTCTTGAGGTAGAAGCGGAAATTACTCCACTTTTCATGTTTTAAAATCTAGAAGTAATATTATCAGAAAGAAACACATTATTAGTGCTTCTATGTATCTTCTATGTTTGCCCTTTCTTTTTACACTGTTTTAGGTACTCATTGTGCCAATGTTTGTTATGCTATGCCTCAATGTATGTTTTTCCACTCATTTATTCATCCATGCTGCAGTAGACTCTACGTAAACTAAGCCCTCTTAATTGAAATGGCTGCTTAAATGGAGCAACTGGCCCTAATATGGTTGCTTTTGTGCTTTAATTCTGCACCCCTGTCTTTCTCCCGGTAAATGAAACTCCTTTTAAACGAAACATGTTTTTCTAGTCTCTTCAGGTTTCGCTGAACAGGAGTGTACTGTATATTTCTGTGTCTGTATAGTTTCCTGTCTACCTGTGCACCTGCCTGCCTGTCTGTAGTGTTTTGTTGGAGTCTTTTATTTTACCAGCGCATTTCTCTATCTTCGTCTATTTTTGTGCGTAATGCCTACTCTGTTTCTTTTGTGCGTGGAATTTCTAGTGTCCTCATGACCTCGATTGCCCAAGGGAGACACAGGCTCTCGGAATTCCCTGCACGTTCCAAGCACGCTACGAGGAGCCTTTCCTTACAGCCGTTAGTATTTGATAATTTCTAGCTGTGGTCATCCTTTCATTTCTCTGGAATTGCCATCCCTCAGACATTGCTTACAGCCTTCTATTCAGTATGAAATATGCCCACTCCTGAAATATGCTCACACACCGCAGAGCTTGTCTGCTGTCACGCCACTACAGCTGGTACTTGAAGCAAACAATTTTTATCAATCTCCCTGAGGTCAAAAAGTGTCCCATGAATGTGTAACACGTATGCCGTTTGCCACTATGGATAAAAATTAATCGAAACTCCTTGCAGGCAGTGCCATTATTAAGCATCACACTTGCTATTTCTTTTATACCAGAACCGAATGCAATCGACGAAGTTCAATCAAAGATTCAGCCAAAATGTATATCTTGACTAAGCCTAGCACCGCACTGACATGCCGTTTGCTTCGTCTAATGTTTAGATACATATGCCACATGCAACAACCGATGGAAAAACGGCGGTACCAATGCACGGGTCGCAACCACTTATTTATTATGTTCAGCACTGAAAGTTGTGCAAGCACGTATGCTAGAAAACGAAAATCTGCACGGTTTACCAATTCCACTGCACAAAGTGACACTTGCTTGCGAATGCAGCTTCGACAGACACTCATATCTCAAGCTCGCTTGTCAACCTGGCACACTTAAAATAAAGCTACTTATTATTGTGGAAGACCGTCTGCAACCAATGCCACAACGCCGAGATTGTTGGCATCTCGATTCGCCCCGTCTTCGACGCTTGTTTAGTCGCTTGAGCAGGTGGTGAGGCGGTCGAAATCAAAATGCGCAGCGTACATGACGTCGTGGCCGCTTCTGCTGCTCGATGAACCACTGGCGGAATCGTGAGGTGATGATGGGGCCGACAACACGGCGGGTGAACCGGTAACGCACCGCAACACTCGCAACACACTGACATGTGTGGACCACGCGGCAAGCAGCACTGACAACACAGTGAACACACTGACTGCATGCGGAAGATGCTGTTAAGTAGCAGACGGTGGCACTGCTTTTTAGGGCTTGTGACGTCATGCACGCCATGGCAGTCGCCAGCGGTGGGTGGAGTTTACAGCCGATGACTTCTACGGCTTATTTTGGGCTGAAGTAACTTTTATAGTAGTCCAGTTTTCACACATGTACAAGCATATTTGACTCTCTACCCTTCATTTTTCACCGAAAACCGTCAATTGTTGGGTGACCATCTCGTGACTGCTTCAATAATGCGCAAGGCTTGCCCTCTTAGGTTGTTCGTCAATTTTTGACTTTGCCATGCATTAAGTCTGTAAGTTGAAGGCAGAAAAATTATTAGCAGGCAATGGGAGGCATGTGGTTCATTCCAGTTTCCTCATTGGCTTACAGAACATGGTAGTTTTTCTTGTGATGATTGAATCTTGTGAGACAGTGAGTCCAAGCCTTTTGTCTTCACCAATGCTGACTTCTAAATCAGTTCGGTATTGTTGACTTTCTTTGTCCATTCTTGTGTTTATGCCTTTTAGAGCAGGCACCCGGCTATTTCAAGGTACTCTTACGTGGTACTGCAGAGGCCTGGAGAAATTGCCAGTGAGTCTTTCTTTTTTTGTAAAATGCACCAAGCTCATGTACTATATTTAGTATACAGCAGAGCCTCACTGATATGAGCACTGTTGATCCAGATTGCAGGTTGATAACAATTCGAAAGTTCAGGTGAAAAATTAAGAAGTCCAACAAGTTTTGTTCTGAGATACCTGGAAAATTTTACCTAATAGTGGGCGGATGACACAACTTAACTTCGCTGTCATGAGATGTGCACATGAGAAATGCAAATTGCAACGTATATAGAGCATTGGCAGGGTGCATGAAAGAAAGGGCAGCAATTTTCGTGCATTACCGAAATCTCCACTCTTTTCGTAAAAACTGACACAGAAGAGTGGTGTGTCCACATTGTTTTTTTTTTTGCCTTCTTTGTCTGTGAGCTAAATAGCGGACATAAGTTGACTGCATACCCAAGAATGCACGTCTGCTTGACAGCTTTGTCAAGATGAATATCTAGAAAACTGAAAAGCTGTTCATATCAAGGAAAATTATTTCACAAATTGTGCGAGACATTTTCATCTCTACATTGGTTCTGGTTTGTTTTGTTGTTCAAGTGCGTGTTTTGAAACATTAAGGGTGTGTAGTTGAGTTTCTGCTACCTGTAATATATGTCCTTTCAGTACAAGAATGGAGTTATCATTGGCGTTCTCTTTCAGAGGAGAGAGAGTGGGCTCGTGTGATCCGGCCAGTTCTGCGTCGTAGCCGGCACGTGGTCTGCCGGTTCTGCTGCAAGGATGCACAATTGAGAGAATTTGTGTTCAGCAAAAAAAGGCACGGCAGGTAGGTTTGGTATGCTCTTATTATGTCTCCCTTGGAGGTGCTCGTGACAGACTCATTTTGTCTCGTATGGTTAAAGGGGCCCTCCTAACACTTTCTAAGCGGTCATTTATTTACATAATTGTTGAAGTTTATTGCCCCATCAATCAATTTCTGCAAACATTTGTTGAATCTGTTAAGAACGAGCTGAGTTACAGGGGTGTGTCACGCGCTTTCAGCGCTGTCTCTCTTCTTTCATCCCGACGAGCACTCTGGAGGCTATGACGGCACGAAGAAAAGAAGTTAGGTCAGCGTGCATCATGATAGTAAGGGTGCATCATGAAACGCTGTCTCCTGCTTTGGTTCCCGTGTGCAGGTGTGACTGACTTTGTAATGTTATGAGAGTGGAGTGTGGCACCAGCATGTGATGGCACCCTGTCACAAGAATCTAATCTAATCCAAATGCCATTCTTAATTTATGTAATCTATTTGCTGATAGCATGCTATCTTGTGAGTACATTAAAACAGCAGGTTCCAGCAGCTCCCAAGAGAGTGAGCACAAGCATCTGTATATCTTCGCAATCCACTTGTAAACACTTTTTTTCTACGCACAATTGTGAGATTTAGCTGAGCTGTTTGTAGGGTATGTTTTGTCACTAAGCCCTAAGAGAGGTTCATAACGCCTCTAACTGTGAACGAGTTTGGGGAAAACATCGTGCACACTGCAAAACAGATTCCTATGAGCCGAGAAACAGATTGCGGTGCAGTGAAATACCTCTTTAGGTGCATGTAAATAGATTGTTTCTTAGACATTTTGGTGTTTATGTCACGACAGACTACAATGCGTGCATGCACAGCTCCATCCTGGCCTTCATCCCTCTTACACATTTGGTACGCCTCCCAGCACTACAGATAGCCTTCATTGTAATAGCAGGGTTTGGTTTGGACTGTAACATCGCTGTATTGCACTGAAATTGATCAAGGAAAGAGATGGATTATTTGGTTAAATTTACCTAGTTAAAGTAAGGAAGTTGCTGATGGCACAGATATTGTGTGTACTGTGTCTACATTAGCGACCATAACCTGTACTGTTGTACTGGGCTGTTTTCGTTTCCCGTCCTTAGCTTGCCTGCATAAGCATGTGTGGCATACTTTTCTTATTCTTCTGGCAAGACACACTTGAGTTTCGGCTTTACGTTCCTGCAGTGCCACGCACACTCCTAGAGAACTTCGATACCTTGGTTTCATTGCCGAATTCACCACAGACATGCGTTATGTAAAAGGCAGCTTTAACAATGCAGCGGACGCTCTCAGTTGTATTATCATCAATGCCACGACAGGCACCACCGACCTTTCATTGTCCTCGCTCGCGGAGGCACAGGCATTAGACGATGAACTTCCACAACTCCGATCCTCTCCTTCCCTCCGACTGGAACAAGTCAACTTTCCCGACGACGACGTTACGCTCTGGTGCGATGTTTCACACAACTGCACTCGTATCTATGTTCCTTCACAGCTTCGTCGTGCCGTTTTTGACACCCTTCACTCCATCTGCCATCCAGGCGTAAAAGCTACGCAACATGTGGTCACTGAACGCTATGTCTGGCCGCGCATACGCGCTAACATTCGTGACTGCGTTCGCACTTGCAGAGCATGTCAGCGTATCAAGGTGCAACGGCACACCAAGCCTCCATAGGGAAAATTCCCTTTCCCTGATGCACGTTTCGACACCATTCATTTGGACATTGTCGGGCCATTACCTCCATGTCAGGGAAATACGTATTTGCTTACGTGTATTGACAGGTACACTAGGTGGCCTGAAGCAGCTCCAATGCCTGACATCACGGCAGAAACAGTTGCTCGTACCTTTCTTGCTGCCTGGATTAGCCGTTTCGGTGTACCATCAACGGTGACTACTGATCGAGGCAGACAGTTTGAGTCAGCGCTTCTCACCTCTGTCTCATCTCTACTGGGTTGTGCGCGTATTCGCACAACTGCGTATCACCCAGCTTCAAATGGCTTAGTGGAGAGACTCCACCGTCATCTAAAAGCAGCACTCGCCTCGCAGCCTCACGCCGAAGATTGGGTATCACACCTCCCCATCGTGCTTCTCGGCCTGCGTTCAACACTTCGGCCAGAACTTGCCTGCTCTGTAGCCGAGATGGTTTATGGCTGCACACTCCGTTTGCCTGGTGACCTCGTCAGCCCCATTACTACGCAGAGTGTTTCGGATTCATCTTCTTTCATCCAGCATCTGTGGATCTTCATGCAAAACTTGCGCCCATCACCAACTTCAGCTCACACTAAGAACGACGTTTTTCTACCGGCAAACCTACAGACATCTTAACGATTTTGTTCATGTCAATGCGTCTCGCCGTGCTCTTCAGCCTCGCTATGACGGTCCTTTCCGAGTCATCAAGCGTTCTGAGCATCATTTTACAATCCTGCGTAATGGGCTTCAAGACACAGTCAGCATTGAAAGGATCAAGCCGGCACCCATTCTGACAAGCTCCATATGATCATTTTTTTTTTCTTCAAGTGCCCATGGCTACTTGTCTGCAGAGGGGGTCTATATGTGGCATACTTTTCTTCTTCTTCTGGCACGACACACTTGGGACATAAGCTAGTAGTGGGTAGTCTGCTGAGGTGAGGGAAGAAGAGGTAGTTGGAACAATGGCAGAGATGCATTAATAAACCGCGCCGTGTTTTCGGAACTACGTTCCAGAGTGCTATACATGTATTGCTAAGACGTTCCTCTTTCGGGAACTTGGATTGCTACTTCAGCGAGAATGCAGTGATACCCAACACAATGGCTCTGCCATGGTTAATGTAAGGCCTACAGGTTACAACCTGCTTTTGTAAGCTAGCATCATGTAGTTACCTCGTCCATTGTATGCACAGCACATCATGGAGTCACACATTTGCTGTTTGCAGATGGATGCATCATCTGCATTGGTAGGGTTAGTATTCCTGCAGAGCTTCTTTTGGCTTGATGGCTGAGCATGCTGCAGGTTGGAAGCCAAATAAAATCTTGCACTGGATATTGGATATGCTTAACTGTAGAGGCAAAAATACATTATATTATAAGGCCAATATTCGCACGAAAACAAAAGGCACTGTGTGTTCGAACATGTCATATGTATTTGATGTAGTGTCTGTATGCCCAGAACCGTTGTCAAGGGCATGAAAAAAATATAACAGTATATAATATTTGTTGTAATGATTGGTCTGCATTTTATTTATTCATTCAATACTGTGGACTTATGGTCCATGCAGGGTGGTCAATACAAATACAAAAGAGGCAGTAACAAGGCAACAACAGTAAAGGGGAATAAAGTCATGTTGTAGTTTGATCACATGTACCAGTGAAACAATTGAATTCACTAATTGTTCTCTGAAAATATGACTGCTTAAATAGGTCAGTGAGCGCAAAATATGGCGTTAAAGTGTTGGTGTGGTGGTGCCGGGAAGGCCTGCAAGCTGAGGGTGTCAAATACTGAGATGGATCTAGAGCAAGGTTTTTATTCCGAAGTTGATGAAGAAATTTTAATCTGTGTTTTTGCCTTCATGCCTGTAATAAGAGAACATAATTTTCTTGCATTAAATCTGAGGATCTGAGGCTGAAATGAATCACACCATTGTGTGATTCATTTTAGCCATTGGGTAACTTCACAAAGAAATAAATGTGTCCTTGAATTTCGGTAGGTCTAACGAGGCAAATACGGCATGGTATGGTCAACGCTGTCTACAGTGCTGGGGCTACAGTATTCAAGGTTATCTTAGGCCTACTGTGCACTTAGTGGTGAGGCACTCATACTTAAAGACAGATACAGTAAAATCTCGTTAATTCGACCCCCATTAATTTGGAATTTTGGTTGATTCAGTCACGGCGTTTGGTCCCGTCCAAAATTTACATCGTTCTATCACTGAGAACTCTCATTAATTAGGACGAATTCGGCCTCGCTTCGGTTAATTCGAATGGGCGACCATGCTCGAGCCACAACAAGGAAACAGCAGTGGATTCTGCCGGCCAAATCGACAGCGCATCTAAACAACTTTCAGATCGGATTGCAGCCTCTGAGATTCAAAACTTCGTCCATGGGTAATACATCTCGGAGATGCACCCCCCCCCCCTTAAGAAAAAAAACACCACATGGTCGTTTAAACAAGGAAAATGGAAGGCAGTGCATTGCTACTGTTAGAGTGTACACTGTACTACTGTCATCAGCAACGGGCAATTTACATATTTGCCTTTTTGCCTTTCCTTTTTTCTCGTGCGTCGAACACGTTTGATTGACGTTTGAATTGGATTGCTCACCTCTAGTGTGCTTTAAATTATTTATCTGTACATGATCAGTGCCATCTGCAGTCTCACTGATTGCTATTTTTGGAAAGTTTGCCGGTTTTTATTTCGTTTTTATCACCATGCATTTTTTCTTGTGTTGGTGTGTGTGTGTTGTCTACTTAGTGTGCGCGTGCGTGACCACCACGTGAGCGACGCCAGGATGGCTTCCCCTCCATCTCCTGCGGCCCCATCCGCCCCAACTTCCGCAGCGAAGAGGGCAACGTACAAAGCAATAGATTTGGTTGCGAAGGTGAAAATATTGAAGGCGTTGCAAGCGGGAGCATCTCGAAAAAAGAAGTGATGGAAAAGTTCAATGTGAAGAAAAGCACGCTGCGCACTTCTGTGAAGGACGAAGAGCAGAATATGCAAGCATATGACGGGGACATGTTTGACGACCAAAGTACAGTGGCTAGAATAGGGAAGTGTGATGAGTGGCAAGCAGCGCCTACGGAGCGCACTGAAGCCTCTGCGGAGGAGCCGCGTGGGGGACCGCGCACTCGTTTATATGTTGTTTGCACGTTCCCGACAGTTTCGTCAGGTGCGTTCGTCCTTGGTTTTTTTTATTGTGGTGGCACTGTGACACCAATGCTTCGGTAAGCACTCTGATGGTGTGGAAACATAATCATTGCTTTGTCCCGGGGTGCACTACAGGCTACAAGTCCTCTAAAAATAAGCATGC